GCTCCTGAGGTTGAGTCTAAGTCCTGTCAGCAAAGATACCGTGAGGAATGTTTGCATAGTGATCTCTAACTTTAGCTAATGGGATAATGCATTAGATGTGGTTAATAATTCTGTGCTTGGAAGAATGAGGGCTTTTATAGTCCCATTAAGCCTATAGGGTAACAAGTTACTCTTATTGCTTATATAGTGAATGATAGATTGTGATCTAATGCTTTGAAGGAAAGCAAAAGCGATCTCACATGAAATTCCAAGGCTCTCAGAGGCAAGAATATTTCTCATCATTCTTCTTTTGAAGAAGATGCTCGGGGAAAGATGCTGTTACATTCTGTAAATCCCTAGGATGTTTTAAAATACAAGGTTACAGGAACATAATTAAAGTCTAGAAGCAAATTGCTATTTTTACTCTGAAAATATTTTCTTGAAAATACACCTCTCCTATCAAAAGCTTTGTAGATAACCAGTGATTAGTTAATATTTGTGCTTTGAAAACATACACACGCAACATTAATTTTGTTTTACAGAAACAATCTAACCAACATCATAATTCTGTACTAATTTTCTTCAGGAAAATTTACCTTGGGTCAAGTGACTAAATTGGACATGGTGTATCCATACAAGAGCTCAAACTGCAATGTCAGATAGCCTCACCTGAAATTTAGGCTTTGCCACTTTCTGGCCTTGTGACCTTGAACAAGTCTCTTAAGTTCTTTGTTTCTCTCTTTGTAAAGGTGTTAGCAATAGGATCTAATTCAGAACTTTTGTGAAGATTAAAGAGGTTGTATATGCAAATGGTTTAGAAAAGTGCTTGGCAGGCAATACTCAATCTATATTAGATAGTATGATTAGTTTCATCTTGGGGTAATAAAGCTCTCAGTATTATCCTGACTTTCTGACTTCTCTTTATTTTCCTTCCCAATTCATCCTTCTCTTTTGAACTTTCAAATGTAGTTTCTTAGGGTTTCATCTTAGATTTGTCTCTTCTCCCCTTCCCTGACTCCTCCTTCCCTTCTCCAGTTCTTTCCTTTTTTCTCTATCAACAGTAACACTGAATTTTTCTCTTACTATGTCTTTATGCACCTACATTATTTCATCTCCACTAAAAAACACTTCAAAACAAGTCTGAATGTAATGTTTTAAAAATAGAAATATGAGCTTCCTTTCTCCTGGTGCTCGTTCCCTATGAGCCCCTCATTATGTTATATCCAGATGTTACCTTGTATGTCAAACCCAGAGAGAGCTGAGTTTGAGTTTCTGCTTAACCACTCCCTATTTAGGTGTTCTTGGACAGTTTCCTTAACATGTGTAAGTCAGCCTTAGTTTCCTCACCTGTAAGGAGGTCTGAGTAGAGTACCAGTATCATAGCGTTTTTATTTTAAAGATTTATTTATTTATTCATACAGAACTGGGGTACAGGCCAGAGGCTCAGGTGTGGTGAGAGGCTTCACCATAGAGCGGGGAGCAGAACAGGCAGATCGACGAAGTACACTGCTGAGGGGAGCAGCGGGCGGGTCAGGAGAGGTCTGCTGCGCCATGTGGTCACCTCAGGGGCAGGCGGGAATCGAACTCATGCGGAAGCGGCTTTAGATTCTCATTGCTGTGCTTTAACCCGCTGCGCCACCAGGGAGGGCCCCCTCATAGCATTATTTTAAGGGTTAAGTGAGATCATCAAGAGAAATGCTGAGCACAGAATCTAGGTCAGATTCTGTAACCATCTATCACGTTTTTGTCATTACTGATGTGGAGGTCACAGAAGAATTCAGCACCGGCTTGTGGTGCTGCTCTTCAGGCACTAAGAAACCGGTTCTCCTCCTGGTGTCTGGCACGCAGTTCAGGCTCTGACATTTCTAATTCCCGAGTTTCTCTGAGAGCAAATAGTCATGAACAAGTTTCTCAGAGACAAGAATAAACTGGATTTTCAAGATAAGTCCACCAGAAGGACCACAGGCTCCCCTTCCACAGACGTTCCCCTGGAAGCTGTCGTCAGATGTGGGGACCCAGAAGTGGGGCTGCCGCTGTTGCTCTAAGGGCTCAGATATTTCTTGACTGGTCAGTGGTGTTCCCACTGTGTTCACGCATAGAACACAGAGACAATGAATTTTAGTCGCCTTGCTCCACAGAGAGTTAATTTCTCATTCCTTGGATTGCCTGCCTATTCAGAGGATGGTTCATTTAGGTGGCGTTCCCAGTGATGGCCCTGGCTGCCTAGCAACCACCAGCTCCAAACCTTCCATGAATAACGGCAAGGGTTGTTCATATCAGTAGCATCAATTTTTTTTTTAAGATAAACTCATTGTGTAAAAAAATTCAACCTCATGAAAATATAGTTTCCCTATATATATTGTTCCCAAGAAATTGTTGACAACTGTGTAACACTAAAACTGATGCAGGAATGGCAAATTCTTGAATGGTTAACATAAATGTGGAAATGTTTTTTTAAAAAATCATATATATTTATATATATAGCAAAGCTGGTACTTGTGAGCCTTCTCAGCATTTTCAGAACTGGATGATAACCACCAACCAGCTTCTACCTTTCCAGGACATAACAGGCATCCTTATTCCTATATTTGCTTGAAAAACAAATATATGATGACTTTTCCTGTAGTTTCAAAATTTTAATAGTCCACAATACTGTTTGATAGAAAAATAAATCAATTTCATCTTACTTGTATGTGTAGAAATGAATGGTATGAATTTAAATTAATCAGAACACAATTTCATCAAAAAGTCATCAGATTCATCAGAAAGTCGATAAATTAAAAGGTCACTAATTTCTCTAAATGATTTTGAGGTTGCTGTGCAATTCTTCTGGGCTTAATCTCCTCTATTAAATGATTGCTTGGTCTGCATAATTATTAAATAGGTAGCACTCAGTGTAATTAACTTTTGGTATCAATCTTTTCTTAGATTTTTTTTTCACCCCAGCATTTTCTAACCCTTTGATTTGCACCTCGTTTAGAAACTTTGATTTCACCTGACTTGTGTAGCCAAAATTTGTCTTATAGATTCATTGTGGAGAACATAGAATGTTACATAAAAAAATGATTTAAAAATTCAGCTCTCTGGAAAAACTGGGAAGCTACATGCAAAAAAATGAAACTAGATCACTGCCTCACTCCAGTCACAAAAATCAACTCGAAGTGGATTAAAGACCTAGACATAAGAACAGAAACCATAAAATACCTAGAAGCAAAGATGGGTCAAACACTATACGACATACACTTCAGCGACATCTTTAAAGACAGAGCACCCAATGCCACAATAGTGAAGGCAAAGATAAATAGATGGTGCTACATCAAGTTAAAGAGCTTCTGTACAGCAAAAGAGACATTACTAAAAACAAACAGACAGCCCACTAATTGGGAAAACATTTTCTCACACAAAAGTAGCGATAAAGGACTGATCACAAAAATATACAGAGAACTGACAAAACTCAACAAAAATAAAGTAAACAGCCCCATCAAAAAATGGGCAGTAGAGCTAAAAAGACACTTCTCCAAAGAGGAAATGCAGATGGCCAACAGGCATATGAAAAAATGTTCAACATCACTCGTAATAAGGGAGATGCAAATTAAAACCACAATGAGATACCACCTCACCCCAGTGAGAATGGCACATCTTCAAACAACTAGCAACAACAAATGTTGGCGAGGATGTGGAGAAAAAGGAACTCTCCTGCACTGCTGGTGGGAATGCAAACTAGTACAACCACTATGGAAAACTGTTTGGAGGTTCCTCAAACTGCTAAACATGGAGCTTCCCTACGACCCAGCAATCCCACTTCTAGGTATCTACCCAAAAGACACAAAAACACTGATTGAAAAAGATACTTGTACCCCCATGTTTATTGCTGCTTTATTTACAATTGGAAAAACATGGAAGCAGCCCAAATGCCCAAAAGTAGATGACTGGATTAAGAAGATGTGGTACATATATACAATGGAATATTACTCAGCAACCAAAAAGGAGAAACACATGTCTTTTGCAGCAACTTGGATGGAGCTGGAAAAGATCATGCTTAGTGAGATAAGCCAGAAAGAGAAAGAAAAATACCGGATGGTTTCACTCATAGCAGGAGTATAATGGAGCAGGCAAGAAAATAACAAAAATAATGAACAACCATATACCAGAAACATTTTGTGGGGGTGGAGTGGGGAATGGGATCAAAAACGGGGCGGGGGGGGAAGGGAAGGAAATGCACGGGACTATGGTGGTGGCACATGGGTGATTTGGTGATGGGAAACCCGCGGGGATTACAATCGAGATGGAAAAAAAAAATGTGCACAATGATGTAAAAATAAACTTTTGTAATAATTAAAAAAAAATCAGCTCTCAGGCTGGGGGCAAGTCCCTTGAATTTTCTAAGTCTTCATGTTCCTATCTGTGCAATGGGGGGTGATATACCAATGGCAGAAGTGCTTCGAAACTTAAAAGACAATGTATTTGAACCACTTAACAGAATAACTGGAAGACAGTGTTAATGAAAGTCAATGAACTAAGAAAAACAACTTGATGAAATATTGCCTGTACCTATACACATAAAACAAGATGAACAGATGCCCTAGTATCTTAGTTTTCCAATCTACAGCTCCCTGACACCCTCTCCTTCTCCAAATCATAGCTTCAGCCCCATCAAACAAAATAACTCCCCTGTTCTCATTAAGCAGTCAGCAAGCTCCTCTAAATGTAATTCTGCTTTATTTAATTTTCAGTTTGGTAGAGTGTTGTGAGAAACATTTGGTAACATACCAAATAGAAGAGATTAGAAAAATTTAGTTTTCATATTTAAGGGCAGGTTGTCTGGCCTGAGAACAAATGAATGGAATAAAATCATTGTTATTGGCAAACACAATGAGCAACCCTCGTGAAGTGTGGGCAGGATTGGGGTAGCCCAGAGTGCAGGAGATCACAGGTCTGTTTGTGGAGGTACACAAATTATGCCAAGAAACCAGTTGGTGAATCTGCCCTATTTTGCTTTTTCTTTACTGTCCAATAAACAGTACTTCCTTTCCCCGGCGGGCTCTGGCTTCAGAATTGACAGCACTGGAACAATTTCTACAGCAGCAAGTTTTGATTTTGAGAGACAAGCTAGAAGGTAAATACGAACCTGTTTTTTCATTCACTTGAAATGTCTATCCTTTGGTTCCATTTCCCTGTTTGAGAAGACTTGCTCCCATCTGACCTTAATGGATTCTCCAAATGAAGAGGCTTCTAGCATTTCCTTAGATATAAATATACCACGTACACTGTAATTGTACAACTGCTGGTTTAGATACTAGCTGTGGCTATCTTGATTCCTCTGCATCACCAGTCTTCAGAGTCAAGTAGCCAGATGATTTCAGCGGTGCTGTTGTGACGTACAGTTGGAAGTGAGTAGGGACTCCTCTGGGTGTCTGGGGCACAGAATTCATTCACAGGGTAATCCAGCAACTTCGAAAGTTAATGGACTGGTATTTTTCTCCTCATTTCCTCCACATCTGCCAAGTGGGTAGCTATTGTTTCATAGTTATTATTTCTATTTTTATAATGGCTTTTATGACCACCCTTTTGATCATATGTTCTGCATCAAAGTGTTTTACAAGAAAAGGAAATGGACCTTTAAACTATTCCAATCAGCTGGCTCTTGTCTCTTAAAGGAGATTTTTCCTGATTATGAACGTTAAAGATGGATATCTCCCGAGCCTTAGAATCTTCAGTAAAATGGATTCCGAATTAAAATAGGATGTGTTCTTTACTACTGAGTTTATGAAAACACATTTGTGACAAGTTCTTCTAAACTAGTATTATTTTTATATCCATATTAGCAGAAATCAACATTTTAATATTTTCCCTTACTCCAAAATTCCTTTGCCCCATATTTATCTGATCTTGAAAGTAACTCTGGAAATGATGGATAATAACCATCACAGCTTCCGTTTTTTCTTTGACATGATACACTTCATGGAAAAAAGATTATTCCCATTCAAAGTTGCTTATAAATCATGATTTGTTAACCAAAGACAACAAGGTTGTTCATGAGAGTTCTAAAAATTAGTTTTCTTTACTAGAAAAATATTTTCTCTATATTTTTAAAATTAGTGGAGTTGACACAGAAATAACTGTTTGCAGAATTTGAAAGAATAATTATTTGGTTAATTAAAGTTTTGCAGTGGGTCCTCACTAAAGTTCTGGGGCGAAGACATCATTCCTTAGTTTTCTTAACTTGAGCTCTTTGAGAGTCACTGAGTCGAACTTTTAAGTGAAAATAAAGAAAATTTTGGAATGCCTCATTACTTCTTATGAATTCTCTCCCTTCAAAAGAGATCTAAAGGCATGAAATCTCTTGTTTAAATCCTGATGAAAGCATTCAAAAGGTTCTTTTTTCCCCTATTCTTCTGCAGTCAACTCCAGCATCCAGTAGACCAAGAGTACTTGGAGGTTTTTAGGTTGCTGATCCCACCCAGAACTCATTCCTTCCATTTCTGGAGTTAAGACTTTCCAGAATTGTTATTAAAATGTCATTACTTTGAAAAGTGGACTGGCTTTGTAATTTTCATAAAGAGTTATCTCATAAATAACCATCTTGTAGGAAATAAGAGGAAAAATGGGAACTGTTTTAATTTTTAGGATAACAAAAAACTAATTTTGGATTCAATTATTTAAATATTCCCTCCCCCCACCCCCCCACTCCCTGTAAGGTTGACAAACTATTCCAGTTTGCCTGGGATTGAGAAGTTTCTGGGATGTGTTTGGAGCTTTTAGGATTAAAATTGACCATTGCCAGGCAAATCTGGATGATTGGTTAAGGATACAAACATTCATCTTTAGGATACATTCAGTTTCCCCATTTCAAGCTCCATCATTCCCCAAACACCTTTTAACATAAATACATTTTAATCATCTTATTTCTCCCCCATCATCATGAAGTTGTTTTCAATTGTTCTTATACCTCCTTTGCTTTTGCAGTTTGCAATATTGAAAAGTCAGTTTATAGGGGTAAGAATTCACAACCATAGCTTGTGTGCTCTACCATGCTAACGAATTCCTTTTGCATTTTTATTATTGAAAGGGACTAACAAAAATTCTATATCTGCTTGTTGTTTCAATAGATTTGACTAATTTGGTTCCTAAGAGTCAACTATTTCTGACTTAGAGTAACTGGTTTGAATGACATTCTAGCTAAATTAACCAATTGTTTTAACTGGTCACTTAAGCCCAAATTGCTTCTATTTTTGTAAAATTCTGTCAGTTACTATAAAAATCACAGCTGTCTTTCTTGTGGATACATCTTCAGTTTCTTATTAGTTGTTAAAGTGGTTGATCCTGGAGGACTGTTTATTGCTGGGAATTTAAGGATTTTTCTCATCAATGTCAACAACAAGACCCCCATTCTTACCTGCAGGTAAGGAACTAAAACATATTCTCTAAAATGGCCTTCAAAACTGAATATAAAAATGTAGTCTCTGAAATTCATTAGCGAAAAGTCCATTAAAATGAAATGGTTCTCTCCCTCTCTCTCTTCCCCACCCCAAGGGAAAATAAGCATGTAAGATGTAATTAATCACATAAAATAACAGATTCCACTGAAAAGACTTTCTCAAAACAAAGTATGATAGTTTTAAAGTATAAAACGTATTAAAATTGCAGTAGAATAAGGTATTATGAGTGCAAATGTTCTTAATATGGTAAGACTATTTTCTGTCTGTCGCTATTTTCCTAAAGGAAAATTGTGGTTGAAATTTATCACCAGGGAGTTTGTCAAACCACATTAGTTGTCAATAACTTTATGAAGCTGTTTCTTATAATAAAGGGACAGTGGTCAGACATATAGTCTCCAGTCCCAGACAGACTTGAGATCAAAACCTCTCAGCCTCCTTGCTGTGTACCTGTAGAAGTTGCTTGACTTTCAAAATTTTAGTTTCCACATGTGTAAAATAGCAACAAAGATGGTTCCTATTTCTTAGGAATGCTGTGAGCAGTTAATGAGGAAACCTGAAAAATGCTTAGCATTGTGTCTAAAGTGTAGAAAAATGCCCTTTCAAAGGGTTAGCTGTTATACCACTGCCATAGTTCATAGTTTGAACAAAACTATCTCTAGTCTCCCTCTATTCATCACTATGCCACTTTGTCTTTTCTGTTAAAACAAGTTTATTCAGTATTGAAAATGCTGTCTTGGCTGTTACTTCTGTAAACTCAACTCTGCATCATAAAGTCAACATCACACTGGATGAAGAAATTCCAGTTGGGAAGACAATTGGAAAATGCCAGGCAACTGATGAAGATCACTTGGGAGATTTAACTTTTACATTAGATCCACAGAACACTTACTTTGCAGTTGACAAAGGTGGGTTGAGAGTTGTTCTCAGCAAATTATATCTTTTATATGCTATTGTTATCTGTTTGTGTCAACTGGTAAGACTGAATTTCTAGGGGGAAGATATTGAAGTGTCTACAGAACCCCTACAAGAAGCACATAGTAAATGCTTATTAAACATCTGTAAGACCCAGTTCTTTGTTCACTAATACACTAGTATGAGGCCTCTCATGGTTGCCTTGGCTCTTACCCTACATAATTTCCCATTCATCTTACATCTAACTCACTCTTTTCTCTGACCTGAGAACTTTTGTGAGAGGGAATATGACTGGACTTTCAGGAGCCAATCATTCACTTCTTGTGCAATGAGCTGCATCTGAGACTGGAGGAGGATTAGAGCTTGTGGCATGTAAGGCTTCTTTTGGATTAATGAGAGAAGAAAGGAGGCACAGCTGCAGGTTAAGCCATTGTAGCAGATGCTGTCAGTGTCCCACATGTTGGGAAAATACAACCCTCTACCACAGTTTAACTGATGACTGAAGAGAATTGGTATATAAAAGCTCCAACTCCTTGCTGTGGGCATAGGGACAATTTTGAGTGCATTTTGCTCTGAATTCCAGACTTCCAGTGCTATTAAGCTCAAGTTGCCCACAGTGGAAACTTACTTATAATGTGCTTTTTATTGCTTTTGTGTTCACTCATGAACAAAAACAAAAGCCCTCTCTTCCCCCTCTTACTCTCACTCTCCTCATGCCATCATTGCCCTGAATCACCTCTGGAGATAAAGTACTTGTGCTCAAATCTTCATCTCAGGCTCTGCTTCTGAGGCAAGGCAGCCCCTACTGAGACAGCCACTGTCTGCTCTTACCTGCATTACTGCACAGATGTCTTAAATGGGCTTCTGCTTTCACACTTAATCCCTCCACTAGTCTCAATAGAACAGCTAGAATGAATTAAAAAGGAAAAGTCAAATTGGATCATATTCCTCCCCTGTATAAAGTCCTCCTGTGATTTTCCTTTGCACTTGGAATGTAACCCAGACTTCTTACCTCACTGCCAAGATCCTATTTTCATCAACCTTTGCCTCTCTTTGCAGTTTCATCCTGTTCCTTTCCTCCCTTGCCCAAATCACTGCAGCTAGCTAAACACGCTTCTTGCTTCAAGGTTTCTGTCCTGGTAATTTTTCAGACCTCACCATTAGATATTTTTTATCACAGGACAGTTTTAATTTCTTTAATGAGATGTCTATTTGAATTATTTTTCCATTTTTACACTTGTTTAGTGGTTTGTTCTAGGCCAGACGGTAAATTCCATAAAGGCAGGGACTATATTGCAGTCTATATGGTACTCAGCACAGTTCCTGGTGCATACATTGTCTTGCATAAATGGTTGTTGAATGAATGGATGGATGAATAGAGTGGAAAGAGTCCAATGAATCATATTTTGCATTTATGATGTTCTTTCTGCTGGAAATGATCTCCCACGCACAATTCCTTATCCTATATATCCTTCAAGGCCTAAAAATAAGAGCCTCCTCTTCTAGAAAAATTTTCCTTGTTCTTCCAAGCCAAAAACAATGCTGATTTTGCTATGAGCTAACATATGATAAATGAGGGTATTTTTGATGTCAAACAACATATGGGGTGCCTATATTTTTAATCAGTTCTTTAATTCTAATGAAAGGGGCATAATTCACATTTTATCTCTTTTATTACTGTATAAAAATGTAATTGTGAAAATGACTGCAGGGGTTAATTTGCAGCAAGATGTGCTATATTGTTCCAGAGCACGGGACTGTGGTTTCTACTGACCGCCTTGATGTGGAGAGAGCTGGCTTTGCTCGTGTTCAGTCCTTCTCCGTTAAGGCTTGTGACCATGACCAGCGATGTGCCACAATTGCAGTGACTGCCTATATCCATGGCATTAATGACAACCCACCTTTCTGTGATCACTATCTGATTAGGTGAGCTGAGGCAGTGGGCAGGTTAAGACTACAGAGTGGGCCCTCCCTGGTGGTGCAGTGGGTTAAAGCACAGCACTAAGAAGCTAAAGCCACATCAGCATGAGTTTGATCCTGGCTCCTGAGGTGACCCACATGGCAAGGCAGACCTCTCCTGAACCCCTTATTACTCCCCTCAGCAGTGTGCTTTTTCAGTCTGCCTGTTCTGCTCCCCACTCTGTCTCTGGTGAATCCTCTCACTGCCCCTGCACCTCTGGCCATTACCCCAGTTTTGTATGCATAAATAAGTAAACCTTTAAAAAATAAAAGACTACAGAGTAACCTGTTCTGTTCCCCACTCTGTCTCTGGTGAATCCTCTTACCTCCACGCTCATCCCACACCCCTGGCCTAGATTCCAGCCCTTGTATATATAGATAAATAACTCTTTAAAGAAAAAAAAGAATTGAGTGGAAAGCAGAGGGGTTGCTATATCTATGGTTCAACTAGACATCACTGCACTGAGTCTTGTTCAGTTTCATATTCCAGCCCTCAGAAGTGACCTGGATGGAGAGCTAGGTTTCCTGGATCTGACAGAAAGTGGTAAAAAGCTTTTGTTTTGGAGTCACAGAACTGGATTAGAATCCTGGCTTTATCACTTACTAGTTGATCAATTTTTGGATAATTTGTTTATACCCTTTGATTTCCTGGTTTATTCCTTTTATAAAGAGAGATAACAATAGTACTGTAAAGGGTGGTTATAGAGAATAAATGGGATTATTTTATGTAATATTCCTAGCACAGAGCTAAGCATATGGTATGACTTTTATAGCTGCTATTTGCCACACCTCCATAGCTTCTTATCTGAAACCCTTGGCCTGGATGTCTTTCAGGGTAATTACTTTTTTAAAATTATAGAATGGTAGTTAAAGTAATGGTATGTATACCATATCTTACCCAAGTACTGCATATTCCAATCCATGAATGTCTCTGCAGTGAAACATGTATATTTACACTAAAGGGGATATAGAAAGATTTGACAGTTCAAGTAATTCCTGTATCAGAAATTTAAGAGTAGATCAGGTTTGAACATCACAAATTATAAAAAAAAATCCTGAGTTTCACAACTCAGAGTTTGAGCAAGGATTATGATGCTGTATTTCTGAGACTATGACAATTTTTATTATTTGGAAATCATTCTCCATCATTCTTTGATGTCTCCCTTCCTTCCTTCAATCTCTAAACTATACATAAGACAAAAGTCCCAGCCCCCAGGTTTCCTAAGTTTTGATCCTGGTTATCCTCATTATTGAGTGACAAATAAAACTGAATCTCTGTTAATTTCTGCCCATATGTCTTGGTTCCAATTACCATACCTTTCAAATGGAGATGATAATTGCATCTACCTCCAAGTATTGTTATAAAAACCAAATGCAAGGCTTGCATTCACTCAGTAAATGCTATTTGCTTTCTTCTCTTTCACTCGTTCTTCTCCATCATTTCTTCTCCTTTTCTCAAGAGACTCATAGTCAACTGACCAAACACCTACCACATACTACACCCAGCACTATAGGTAATGGGAGGAGGATTAGCTATGCATATTCACTGTGAGAAACCTGTAACTTGTCAGGGTGGTAAGATGATCTACAGCAATAGTACATCAGCAAGAAAAGATGATTTCAAATGAAGTTATATGTGATGTGCTTTAGTTGTTAAGTGGGAGAACCTGTGGGAATGAAGTAACAAGGGGAGCTGAAGGAATGAAATCAATGCTAATCTTTGAAAAATGAATAGAATATAGAAATTACAGGTTTTAGAATGAATATCTGGAGCAGGGAGATTGTAGCAAAAATCTGGGTGAATACATAGAGATGGAAGGAAGTCTTCTATGACTATAGAAAGGTAGGTTTGTTTCTCTTGAACACATCATACAGGTGCTCTAGGTTGAAACAATGTCAAAGAAGAATCTGATTCTCACTCAAGTCTTCTTTGAGAAGTTGGTACCCCCAAACTGAATAGTTCCCCAAGATAAATAGGGCTGTCACAAATATGCATTGTTCAAATTAGTGGATATTTATGGGAAAACATTACATTAAAAAGCAGCACCCTATCCACCTAAAATAAATTTTTTTCTAAAAAAATGAAACAGGTACACAGGCAAAGAGGTGATTGCAAAAGATACAGTAGTTGCAAAGCTCTTATGTCACGATCTCGATGAGCCTCCTGATACCATCCATTACGCTCCGGTCTCGGGGCCAATTGGTTCTGGACAACTCTTTGTGCAAATGCCAAATGCTGAAAATTTCATCCAGGTGAGCACAAGTCACTATATGTCTGGGGAACTTTCCTAACCGGATGAAGTCATTTCATGGACACAGTTGGTTTGCTGCTGATCGAGAGGCTCTGACAGGGCAGAGCCTGGGGCCTCTTCTGCTATCTGGCTGGAGGCATTTGAGCTGGCCCTTCATTATCTTGTTGCCAGTCACTATTTTCTCCCTCTTGTAATGAACACAAAATAACTTATTTCCTATTTAGCTGGGGAAATGAATCAGAGGCTAAAAGCACTCTGACTTCCTCAGAGATACAATGACTTAAGAGCAACAATGGCTCAATCTGTGTGGAAAGGGTGGTAAATTCTTCCTCTCTTCACCCTCTTAAGGCTGTTAACTTTGAATTTGCACAGGATGGACAGAGTAAGGGTTTTTTTTCCCCTTTCTCAAGATGGGATTTTTTCAGAAGACATCTCTTCTTCTAACTTCTAATTTCCATCAGTTTTTATTTCACAGTTCTCATCCCTGTGAGGTTGCCATAATTGCTCCTAAACCCGAACACCATCAGTCATTTTCCCTCAGCTAGAAGAAGATGTGGTTAAGAAAACCATTGAGGGTCTGTCTCTCCCTTTTGTCTTGACCCCAAATTTTCTTGACAATCTCCACGAACCACAAGCTGGGTCATTGCATCTGTAGTGAGTTTTGGAATCGTAGACAATGAGTCAAAAGGTTTCCTGGGCTGATGTTCATTTGGAAACAAAATGCCAAACTGTCATTTCTTTAAATGGAGTTTGGATAAAGATGAAAGTTTTGTCAACATGATGATAACTAACATTTGGCCTCTTGCATATACTTGCTCTATTTCTGAGTAACTCCCACACCCTTTACCCTCCTCTAATTAATTTCTATATTTTCCCAGTTATCCTAAATGTCACTTATTTCTAAAAACTTTCTTTTACTACCATAACTGGGTAAGTTTTCCCTGCTATAACTTTGCATGAAAAGTTCTACTGCCTTATAAAAACACTTAGTAGGCTCTATGATAACAAATATTTCATTGTTGGTCTTTTAATCTGTAGCTTTACATTTATTTCGGAGTGCTTCATTTTTGTGTGATGACACCTCTTATGGTGCTGTACTCAATGGGTACTGAGTGAGTATTCAGTGTACTTTCTGAATGAAGGATACGCTGTGTCATGCTGACTGATGTTAATTATTGTGGATTAGGATTCATGCCAATTCTGTTATGTTAGGATTGTCCTCAAGTCTGCTATGGGATCATATTGTTTATTGTTATATCCCTCACACCTACAGTTTAGCCATACCTAGTCTTTCCTTAGTACTCAATAAATATTTTTAAATTTATCAGTGGAATAATAGGAATAGCTACCTTTATTATGGTGCTTTATCATTCAAAATACTTTCAAAATATTTCATCTTTATAACTTTTTGCCTGAGATCACACAATTAGCACATAATGAAGAGAGAATATGAGCCATGCTGCTTCTACTCTGCTCTGTCCAAAAATAAGTTACTCTGGAAGGAGATCAGAGATGCTTCTCTCTCTCAGTCAGTCTTGGCCCAGTCTCAGATATTTTCTGATGCCATTTTTATTAAATGCATATGACCTTCCACTTACTAATGAAGACATTTACATTTTAAAAAATCCAGACCTTCAAAAAATACTTTTTGAAGTAATGTTGTTCTGTAAGGTTGCCCAAGAATTGGATTATGAAAACCCAGAGATTGTTGCTGTTGGACACATCTACGAAATGACAGTTTCAGTATATGATGACTTACATCCCTCCCATACAGGTAAGCCTGATAAAATGTTCAAGAAACAGTAAGCCTTTCCTTTAGTCTCTTTTCCTTAGATTCTAAGATATAAAGATATATTATTTTGGGGTCAATTTTGTTAAGTTAGGTAAGGGAGGGAGAGGAGAACTAGTTAGACTTGTTTTGGAAGTTATCAATATAACTGGGAAGGATTTATCATGTCTCAGCAACAGAACAACTCTTGGGCAATACACAACTCTTAGTATAGTTGTAGCCATCTTTCTTAAATGCAGCTTTGATGTGGGATCCTTAGAGCTAGGAGTAGCTAGGTTGGATGCAGCCAAACCTTATGCTTGCAACTTCAGTAACTTTAGTCTGGATCAGGTTGCAGTAACAAAATACCATAGAGTGGGTGTCTTATAAACAGAAACTTATTTCTCATGGTCCTAGAGGCTGGAAAATCTAATTTTAAGACTTGGTGTCTGACAAGGAGACCTGCTTCCTCATAAATGCTCTTTGCTCATTGCTTCAAATGACAGCAGGTACAGGGAACTCTGAGGTTTTTTTTATAAGGACTCTACCCCAATTTATGAGGGTTCCACCTTTATAACCCAACTACCTCCCAGAGATCCTCTCTACACCCCACTCCATCACATTGGGGGAATAGTTTTCAACCTATGAATTTTGGAGAGACTAACAGTCAGCCCACAGCATTTAATAATGCCAGACATCTCTTATTTGGAAAGAATCAGATAGCATATAGTCCAACATACAATTCTGTAGTTTATTTGAGTGATTTAGATCATCTAGAACCATTAATAACACAAGCCAGGGGACATTTGCCAAGTTGCACAGCTCATAGCTTCATGAAAGTGCAGAGTGGCCACCTCTCTCTGGCATTTGGTGTTCTCATAACAATCCAATATCATTTTCGATCGGCCTATGCAAGAATATATCCTTGATGTGCTGAGATTAAATTCCCCCACATTGCATGATCATAAATCTCTTGGCATGTGTGAATTTAACAGTCATGCTTTTGCTAATTTGGAAATATCCTGAGGCATAGATTTGCATTGTGGATTGCGGAGTCAGAGCAGGGTGCCCAGTAGTGAGTGAGCTTAGCCAATAACATGACACCTGCTTCTCTTTTTATTGTTTAACAAGTGCAACCACACATGAAAGGCTGCAAGAGTTCATTTCCATGTTAAAGTATGTATTACTATATATATATTTTTTTAAAGATTTATTTATTTGTGCATACAGAACTGGGGTACAGGCCAGAGGCTCAGGGGCGGCGAGAGGCTTCACCAGAGACAGAGTGGGGAGCAGAACAGGCAGATGGAGGAAGTACACTGCTGAGGGGAGCAGCGGGTGGGTCAGGAGAGGTCTGCCGCGCCATGTGGTCACCTCTCAGGGCAGACAGGAATCGAACTCATGCGGAAGTGACTTTAGCTTCTCAGTGCTATGCTTTAACCTGCTGTGCCACCAGGGAGGGCCTGTTTTACTATATTTTAAGAGTGAATTTGTTGGTGTAGAGGTATTTGTGAAAAAAGATTCATAGAAATGTCTGGATTCATTTATTATTAAGTATCTGTTGCAGCTGGATAATATGACCATAAGTGACCCAGCAGGTGATTGGGATTAGAGCTATCCAAGAAGATGTGGGTGTCTGGGTGGAGAATATAAGTTTACTGGTAGACTCTCAATGCTTATAGGGAGAGCATAGAATATAAATGGCAATTGAGTTTTATCTTTTGTGGCAACTCTGATCCATTGGTGGCAGTTACTTGGGTCATTGAGTTGAGAAAGACTCTGAGGTTGCATCTGGAGCAGTGGAAAAAATTCCTTTGTCATGGATATAGAAAGGTGGAGTGAGGGTATGCATCTTTGTGTTTGCAAGGAAAGGGAACTTAATTCTGAATTTTAAGCAACAGACAGAAATCTTCAAATCTCTTTGACTCACTGAGGGGACTAAGTTTTCAAAGGTGATTTGTAGACTGGAGTCAACCAACTATTTATTTGTAGATTATGGTGATCTGTCCAAAACAGCAGGCCCAAAGTGTTCTTGTGGTGTTTTCTTTTCTCCCTACTGGTGGAGTGTTATTGTTTCATGCAACAGCTTGTTACATAACCCAACTGACCTTCTGGGACGAAAGCTTTCTCTCAGGGCTATTCACTCTGGATTCTAAAAGAATCCATTCCTTTCACCAGATTTGAGCCTCTTTTCTAAGATGGAAAGAAAAAAATCTCTCACAGTAATAAATCCACCTCCTCTCTGATTCTCACACCCCAACATATTCATTGCAACTGCTCATAAAGGATGCGTGTAACACCCCACATGTGGTTCAGTCTATTTTTATAGGCCAACTCATTAGCACAATTTTGAGTCTTTAGGGATGCAATAAAAATCATAGTATGGCAAAACTATAAACAGCACCTGCTCTTGTAGCACATAAAAGGAATTTATTAAAGGAACTAGGGGGACTTTCCTATAAATTACCTGTCTCCACAGAATTATACTTCTTAACCTTTTCTAAGGGTCATGGATACCTTTGAGATGCCAAAGAAAGCTAAAGGCTCTTTTCCTACAAACATAAACATAATAAAATATACCAAAATGTAAAGAATGACACAAATTCTCTGAAGAGCTTTCTAGAACCCAGATAAATTTTCTTGTTTGACAATTGTGAAATAGATTTTCAAGAGAGATAATATATTCTTCAGAATTTTTAATAAATATACACTATAATAGAATTTCCTAATGAAATAAGTTTTGGTTTCAGTGTCCAGTTGGAGATCAAAATATGTCATGATTTCCCAGAAACCCTAAGAAGTCTTGCTTTACAGAAACCTTTTTATCTTTGTTTAACTTAACCTTTTTTATTTGATTGCTTAGAGGCAATATTTTGGGAGATTTTGGAACATCCAACTTGGTCTGATAGCCTACTGATTTTATGATCTTTGACTAAGATTTTTAACTCTGAATCTCAGCTATCTCATCTGTAAAATGGCAATACTATTAATACTAAGTCAGTGCACTATGAAGCAAATTCTAAATTACTATTTTATTATTATTTAAAAAAATTCCCCTGATTTCAGTTTGCTGGCCTTTATGTGTGACCATCAAATTCCTTCTTTTTTGAGAACTTTCTGATATGATCATTTAAGCTTATTGTTCTGAAATACAGAATTCCTCTTCTATAACACTCAATATAAAAGTGTTTGATGGAGAGGAATAAAATGTAATTATTACTTTTCATTCAACCTTTCATAAGGTGAAAAAAGACATTTGGGGCATAATTTCAATTTGCTTTCCTATATATACTGTGTAGAGAGAGACTGAAATTAATGTAATTCCCTTTTTTGTTGATAATGAAACTGGACTGAGCTTGTTCTAGGCTAAAAAATAACTGTCGATGTCAATTCTTGAATGTAGGTTTTCCAAGTCTCTTTCCTTTGAAAATTCTAGGATATATATATACACACACACACACACACATATATGTATATATATACACACACACATACACACATATATACATATAGCATATATAACATATATATATATGTAGCAGATAGAGCAGATATGTATATGTAGCAGATATAGCAGAATGTAGAATATCATATGCTGGGATGAGTGATGCTCCAACAACTCATTAATTCCTATCATATTCATAACAAGTTCTTTTCTGAAAAATGCATAACTGTACATTTCTATACCATATATATGATAGTGCGCTTTGTCACTCTGCCTGTTCTGCTCCCCACTTTGTCTCTGGTGAATCCTCTTCCTGCTCTAGCACCTCTGATCCATACCCCAATTCTGTAAGCATAGGTAAATAAATCTTTTTTAAGAAAGGTCACTATTTTATAAAATAAATATGGCATATGGTGTATTATATATCTTTGACTAGTTGCTTTGGCTGGCTTGACAATTCATTCATATTCCTTGAGAGAGAGAATCTGGAAATGGATCATTTGGGTGCTGAAAGAATCCCATGATAGTTTCAAAATCCTCCAGTAAGCCTATTCCTGTGAACACACTTCATTTGTTTATAGAAGAAAACCACCACTATAATAAAGCATTCATTCACTGTTCATTTTGCAGTAACTGTGACGGTCATCATAGAGATTGCTCCTGCCAATGATTTCAGCCCTGTTTTTGAAGCTACACACTATTCATTCTCTGTTCCAGAAACATCAGGAGGTAAGAGTATTCTTGCTTCTGTGGTGATCAAACATGCACAATCTTTTTTTAAATTTCCATTGTTGTTTCCATTACCATTACCTACACATTTGATATTATTTATTTAGATTGGTTCTTCATGGTAAAAGTCTATATACATATTGGCGTGTTACTACCTTTCTTTCCAAATTAGTGTAATTACACTGATAGCTTAAAATTGGCAATGCACATATTTACTCTATGGAAAGAGGTAAATATTACATATTGGGGCTTTATTCTTTTTTGTTTTTAATTATTTTAACTTAAGAAAATGCTAGAGAAAATGTTAATAATGCAGACAAAATTTGAAAGTCTGTTGTGTCTGAAAATATTATTACAACTTCACCAAAAGTATGAAAATATCCTGTTAATGAACATCGTTATCCAGTTCACCAAAGTCGTCATTCCCATCATTAATGACTAGTGAAACTGTGACATGGTTTCATGTTTACCTTTTTATTTAAAAAGGAAAACATTAAGATTTATGTTTGAATTATTTTTTTTCTGGAAAGTTGCAATCAAAAGATGACTGGGAAAAAACAGATTAGGCAAAAATCAAAGCTCTCCATGAATTAATTTTCTATTTTGGTGCTCAAAATAGAGTCAGGTATATTTTGCTTTGAAAATAAAATTCACTAAGTATGTCAAACACTTGTATGTTTTCTTAAAGCATAATTTCATATCTTCTGATGCTTGAGGAAAAAGATTGAGAATTTTAAATTACAGTCCTGTTGATTTGGGAGGGCTGGGAATATTTAACCTTTTTACTATGAGAAAATTGAGGCTGGAGAGAGAATTGGGTCATAAAGCAAGTGAATGGTAGTTGATGGCTAATTGCAGACATTTCACATTTCTGGCCCAGTTCTCTGTTTAGTATTCCAGATTGCTTTTCTTGGCTGACTTTTGATGACTGAGGTCATTAAAAGTCTAAAAACAAGTTGTGAGAATTTATACAAAGAAATAAATGGATCACTTCTTTTTGTATACTCTTCTCTAAAGAGAAGGATAGTGATGTGATTTCAACAGGGAGACTTCTAGGTCTTCATAGGGAATAGGCAATGTGATGTAGCAGAAAAATATGAATTTGGGAGTCTACTTTTATCTCTATCATTATTAGTCAAATAGCCTTACCCAGTCATATAATCTGTGCGCCTTCACGTTCTCATCTACGAAATGGAGACTACATTTTACTATGTCACAGAGCTGAGGTTCAGGTTAATGCACAATTTATATATATATACATATATATATATATATATATATATAATGTTAAGTACATGAACTACTTCTAATGACAGCACAGCATTACCCATAATAACAATAATAATAGCCAGTAAACCACATGAAATTAGGGTTTTTTGTTTTTGAGTGGATACCCATCATAGAAGACAAAGCCTTCACAGCTCAGTGGCAATTTTCTTAAAAGGAAGAAATTGAAAAGTTAATACTACTCTGAAAACAAACTCTCTGCAGAATATCAAACATTTAGCCTGTAGACCTTAAGGATATTAAAAAAGAATCCATTAATGTGAAGACTTTTTCATGCTGTGTTGATTAGCACAGAAGATGTGAGTATGCCTTGAGGACTACATAGAGCTTTTTTCCCCTACAAAATTATAGAAATCTGTATCTTTCAAGTAAAAAAAAAATTCTAATGGTATCTGAGGAGTAACTGAATCTCCACAGACAAAAACATTCTAGAGAGAGCTAGGCTTAGGCAAGCAATTTCTTTATCTAAATGATTTAGATGAAAATTAAATCATGCTGGGTTGCAAGTCACAAGGGAAAACAGGTTTCATTTCCAAGAGGTTCTGATGAGGAAGTTTGGCAGAGTTGTAGAGCTTTATAATTATTTAAACTTTAGCTAAAGATGCTCAAGATAGCTTTTCGTTTCATTGAAAGATTAATTTTACACCTACAGAATAAGCTTCCCATTATATTTAACCAGGTGTTAAATGTGAAAATAATACCATCCTTGCCCAGGATTATATGAGAAAGATGGCAATCTTACCCTTAATCTATTTTCTGTAGTCTCATGATAACTTTCTCTTAATAATGATGCCTTTATATTAGCAATAGATTTGGACTGTTTATTCTCTGGATTTGTTATAATGAAATATTCTGTCCGTTTTCACAAATGTGTTTTCTCTGTTCTTGATATGAGTTGTGTTCATTGCTTAATAACATATTATCAGAGACAGATAATGTGAAAACAGAAAGAAATCTTGGGAGGTTGGAGATGGTGGGGGATATCATCTGAAGCGATTTCTTCATTGTAATTTTTCTTGATTATGAACAACCAAAATAACCTATCCACAAGTTGGCACATGTAGCCATTTGTATGGTGGGTTCTCCTTAATGGAGGTTAGGTAGCTTCCATAGAACTTATAATTCAGTGAGAATGATTGAGGGATAAACCTGTTGAGCCAGTTATCTATCACTGGTAAGTATGTTGTATACTGAAATCCACTTTCCCCAAAAGAATCTTATCATCGTAGACATTTACTTAACTCCTGGAATTGTCTGGTGTGTTCCTGTAGAAATTGGCTGCCTGTTGCTGATCCAGCCCAATTTCAGCTGGATCAATGGATGGTGTGATTCCTCTTTCATCCTGCAACAGGCCAAGCCCAGCATGTTTTGTGGAACAGGAACAGGTAGAGGAGTAAGCCAGCCTAGTCATACAAGTGCATTCTGGGTCTCTGCTTGCCACAAGGTTTGATAATATCTCATTGGCCAAAAGAATTCATAGGAGAGGACTATAAAGACATGTAATGAAGAGCACAAACATGGGAAAGATAAAGAATTTGGGCTCATTCATGGTGCTCAATCTACCACACCCATCTTTCAAAAGATTATTTGGGAAACTGTACACTGGAATTACAGTGTATAAAACATGGGCTGTAGATTTAGCAGATATAGAGTTGAATACTGATCCTACCACTATTATCCCACTAGACTGTAGTTTCCTTATCTGTTAGTGGAGACAGTAAAAGCACACAGATCACAAGGCTGTTGAGAGGATTTAATGTAACTATTAGCTAATTCTTATACAGCATTCATTACATCCTAGTCACTATTCTAACTGCATTATATAGTTTAACTCATTTAATCCTCACAATAATTCTGTATGATACTGATATTACTAGTTTGCAGATAAAGAATATGACAGCCAGACCAATAGACAGAGTTTTCTAAAGAGGTGTATCTATATATCTAGTCAATGGCGGAATTGAGATTCACAGCCTAGGCTGCTTGGTTCCAGAATCTGTGTTGTCATTATCTTAGCATAAAGCCTGGTAGAAAATAAACATGCAAGCTAATTTATTAGCTTACCAATTTATTGTTAATTCATATCATGTGTCTCATCCCATGCGGTTTCAAGTGCCAGAAAATTATAAATTTGCTTTTCATCATGTAATTGAACTTTTCAAACACATTTCATTGTTCAGAAGAAACTAGGCTGACTCTTTGAGAAACTATAGCACTAGATGAGAAGCAAAAACCTGTTAGACTTTCTGAAGTAGGGTCTGTGCAGGGCAAGCACAATTATTAATAAATGTTGTTGGCAGCTTTCTACAAAGTTGGAAAAGTGACTGCCATAGACTCAGACTACCCACCTAACTGTGTGAAGTACAAGATCATCAGCGGAGACATCCAGGTTATACAAAGATTCTGGGTCCATCCTCTCTCCGGAATGATTGAACTCATCACACAGCCAGACTATGAGACCGTGAAGCAATACAACCTCACTGTGGAAGGTGTGGACTGTGACAGATTTCATCCTCGCACGGGATTGACCATGGTGAGCAATGTGGGTTTTGATGGGATAGAGATGATCTACTAAGTTCCAATTTATTACACTCAGAATGGTCAAAAATAACCAGACGATGTAGCAAGTTACAACTTTCTCTACTTCCCCATCTTCTATGACTGTTATAGTTTTAAACTTTGGAAGTTTGAGGTTTGGCTGAGAATGAAAAATTTGCTAACTCCTCTATTCGCATGAGATTGAAGGAAATACAAACACTGAACATGCATGTAGCAATGACCAGTGCCAGTTCCTGTTCTAGGTACATCTTAGGGAGTTTATCTTCACCTTAAGATTTCAAGGTGATGATATTAACATCATATTCACTCTAAAAACTGGAAACTGAGGCAGTTTAGGAACCATACTTGAAGTTACATATATGATTAGTCAAGTGGGACTCATTGACTGCTTCTCCTGAAAAGTGATGTTTACAATGAAGGTGCAATTGAACCAAAGTGCAATTTTTTTTTTTGGATCAGAATTATCTGGGAAATATATCAGGGGTAAGTGTGGACTGAGCCCTTATTTTGTGTTTTTTTTTTTCTTTTTTTATTGAGGTAGCATTGCTTTACAGCCCTGTACATTATTTAGAAATCTATACCTCTTAACATCTCTTCAATGCTACCAGAAAATATTGCTTAACAAAGTACACATAACCTTCCACCACAGTCTGTGGGCCCCTTCACTCACTTTCCTTTTTACCTCTGTAATACCTCTCTAGTAGCTTCAATCCCATGGTCAGATTTTCTAGGGCTTATTTTGCTTTAGTTTTGTCCCTTTTATTTTTTCTATATTCCATGTATGAGTAAAATGATGAAGTATTTTTCTTTCTCCTGGAATATATTGTTTAGTATAATATCCTCCAGTTCTATCCATGTGGCTGCAACAGCAAGATTTCATCTTTTAAAAAAAAAGATTTATTTATTTATGAATACATAACTTGGGTACAGGCCAGAGGTTCATGGGCAGTGAGAGGATTCCCCAGAGACAGAATGGGGAGCAGAAGACCGAAGTACACTGTTTTTGAGGGAGGGGCCAGGGAGTCAGGAGAGGTCTGCAGTGCCATGTGGGTCACCTCTGGGGCGGGGATCAAACTCATTCTGAAGTGGCTTTAGCTTTTTAGTGCTATAGTTTAACCCACTGTGCCACCAAGGTGGGCCCTTATCTATAATTTTTTAATTTCATTACTGAGCATTTTATATCCCTACTCACTGTTGTTTTCTTATTTAAAGCTTCAATTACTATTTTCTCTTCATTACTTTATTTACTTCTGTTTATTTAATTCATGAGAGTATATGTTTTTCTGGATGTTGGTGTATCTCTGATTAGCTTTTCCTACTTATATTTTTACCTCCTTCACTGCATTGTTGTCCATGCTCTTGATATATTTTTTTAACATTATAGCTATGTTTTTTCATTTTTATTTCATATATATATATATATATATACACACACACACACACACACATCATATACATATTATATATATATATATATATATATGTATAATTTCATTATAGCAATTTTGAACTCTCAGACAGGGAGACAAAAATCTTCCATGTCCTTGTAATTGGATTCAGGACAGTTGTTTTCTCTTTGTAATATCATATTCCCTTGAAGTCTCCAGATGCCATCCATGTGTTGTATTTTCTAGTCTGCTCATTTTGCTGCTTTAGATTTTCCTATTTAAAAAGATCTGCAGTAGTTAACTTAGAGAGTTGAACTCTTTTACTCTTCTAGTAAGTGGCTCTTGGGTTTTATTGGATAAGGTTTTTGGCTTTCCTGACTTCTATATGTCCTAAAATCTAGTCTTGCAGTTGCTGAGTTAGAGGGTAGGGAGAGGGTCTGAACTGGTCCAGCCACTGGTTTAAATGTGCCTGGGTAGGAGGTGGCTCATGTTCATGGCTCCACTGATGTCTCTTCTCTCTGGGGGTTCAGAAGTGGGACTCTGGTCTGTGTGCATTCCTTAATCAAGTGTACATACTTCCAGTACCCAAGGGCTGAGCTGGGCTGTGCATGTCCGTGACTCCTAGCCTGGACCAGAGTCATCAATGGTTTTTTTTCCCCATCCTTCTCTTTCAACAAAACATGACTCTCTGTCTCTTCTTTGTTGCTGTCTTTGTTGGAACCTAATGTCCAAAGTGTTCTAGCTTTTCACCAAATCCCAGGACTTTCTGGGTATAGTGTTCCACTGTTAACTATGAGACGATCCTCTTTGGAATGAAGCAGAGGACCTCCTCTGTCACTATTGTGGTCCATCTTCTGGATTTATATATGATTTTAGCAGGATCAAAGGCCTCTTGAGAGATATTAGAAGTGAATATTGCTGCATTAATGATGTGATGTATATTTTAATGACTCCAAGTTTTCATCATCTTTATTAGACAAGAATCAGAAATGGCACTGAAGAATTTAAAGGTCCCCATCTGGTCTGATGATTCACTCTGTATCCCTTCCTACTGTATGGAGCCCCTGATTTGCTACTATTGTGATCATGAGGTTTCCCGAGAATGTCATTGTCAGGAAAATGTCAGGCCTATTCACAGCAACAATTAGAAGGGCTTTCAGAGGGACTGAACTACAGTGAAGCAGATGGGATTATGTGGCTCAGTTTGTCTCAGGAAGATACCTATGAAAGTGATATTTACACCTAGTTACTTGGGGCAGTTTTTCCTGCAGTCATTTGTATGTATTTTAACTCCCAAAATAGTATAAATTGACACCACTTGCAATTATCATACATTTATTACAAATGAGAATGGGGAAAGCAGATTTAAAAAGGTAGAAGTTCAAGGTGACTTTGCTCTGATAAGAAGATTTATGTCTTGCTTATCTGTCTTTTTTTTTTTCAGAATTATATTTATTGAATGTTCACATTGTGTACAACCTGGGTTTCAGAAACATACTAGTCATTATCTATCCCTTCAAGGAGCTTAAATTTTTTAACATATGAAAAGATTAAGCCTATGTAACGAGTGAATCGATGATATGGATAAATGTGACTTTCAAGATTAGAAAAGGCAGATCTTTGAACATCAAGTTATTATCATCATCGTCATCCACTAGCTCTCGAGAGTTTGTAAAGGTCACATACTATGACATGGTACACAGACTTTAATCCCAGACTCTGAGGTGGTCACTAGTCTTTTCTATAGTTGGAAATTTTCATTTCCAGGGCTTAAAAGTTAATCAACTTAGCCAAGTTTTTTACCCAGCTAGAAAGTGAGAGGAAGATTACCTCTAAGCATTTAATTACTATTTTGTATCCTAAATTATTTCTTTAATCCATCAGCAAATCCTGGGTCTCTACTTTCAAAATATATGGTGCGTTCTACTCTCACCTGTCCCTCTCAAGCAGCTCACACCTGTCTGTCCCACTGTCATTCATTCCTCAGTTGGCCAGTACAGCAGCCTAACTAGAAACAGCACTTCCACTCATCCCCTTTATAACCTATTCTTCACATCACAGTCAGGGTGATCCTTTAAAAACACAATGCTCCCTTCTCAAAGCTTTGCAATGGCTTCCCAACACAGTTAACATAAGTGTCAATGCTTATGTGGTGCCGTGCCCGGGGTGGTGTGGCCTCTGCTGTCTTCAGCTTCAACTTCTCTCCCTTTCACTTTGGTGAAGACACATGAACTTCTCGCTGTCACACCAAGAATGCTTGCACCTAAAATCCTGTGCCCCACACTGTCATACTTATCCTCCAGAGAGCCACTTGGCTCATATTCCAACTAAAGTTACATTTCTGCCTAAAGGATACTTGCTTCCTAGGTCCATTGTGTTGTGTGCGATGGTGGCATTTTGAAGCAACTCATGTGTTGCTCATTAAGTGCTTCAGTAAGCATAGTATGGTGAGGGCACTCTATGGACCACCGAGAATCAAGAAAAAAATAGAAAACTAGTTATGTAAACAGAGAAAGAGCAAGAAAACATGATCCTGTGTGTGAAAATAGGACATAGGAAAGAACTATAACAAAAAAAAACCCTTTATGTAAGTCAAAATCACATGACCAAAAAATCATAGCTATTCTATGAGGATAAATGCTTATGTGAGGACATATATCGAATATGGGGGAGGAAAAGAAAACAAAAAAGAAAGACCTTCTCGGGGCCCTCCCCGGTGGCGCAGCGGGTTAAAGCACAGCACTGAGAATCTAAAGCCGCTTCCGCATGAGTTCGATTGCCGCCTGCCCCGGATGTGACCACATGGCGCGGCAGACCTCTCCTGGCCCGCCCGCTGCTCCCTTCAGGAGTGTACTTCGTCGATCTGCCTGTTCTGCTCCCCACTCTGTCTCTGGTGAAGCCTCTCA